ATGTTTACTTGTAAGTAAAAATTCTGCAGAAAATTTTCGGTTTGCAGTTATTTCTCCTCCCTTCGTGATGATGTGACGTCAACTTAGCGGTGCTAACCATACAAATTGCCTTTATTTGTTGAACTGTTAAGTGTAGAACGCAGCACCGATTCGCGAGGATCGTCACTACTTATAGCAGTATCAATGTTTTGCCTGTCAGTATATTCAAGCATGAAGTTGACGGTCCCCAGGAATGATGAGTTCGTGAATACTGATATGGCACCTAGCGAGGATATGTTTACCTTAAGCAATGTGTTTTCTTTTATCTGTTGCCTAGAAAGTATCCTTGAGGCTGTATTTCATACATTTCATCATGAACTACATTATGTTGTGTCAGTGTTTTGGAACGCTATCCTAAACGCTTTCAGAAAACAGTGGGTGACTTTATAGCGAAGGTGGAAAGATTTTGGGAGAAACTTTAAGAAACTTCGAGTAAATTTCTATCGGTGATGCTTATACGGAAAAGTACTTGGGCGTAGTGCGCCAAACCACTAATATATCGCTTTGCTCGCATTTGCAAGGACACCATGATAGTATGACCTTGACAAGTGGAACATTTGTCACTAAGTTGCCTAGGTCATAGATAAAACTGACAGTCATATTTGGAGAAGTTTATTCTGACGCCAGCAAGAATAAATGTTTCTGAGCACAAGGAGAGCTAGGTCAAGCCCCACTTTCTTACGATTCCCGAGACCGACTTTGCCCAATTCATGTTTGGTATTCTGGTTGGAAGAGGATATGAGACAGGATGACTCTCCTAATTTCCGAGGCTATGATTTCTTTGATGAAATATTGTCAAAAACGCGATTTACTACGAAAACGCTGTTTGACTTTCAAGGCGCAGGACAGAGTTGAAAACCGCGGTAGTTCAGTTTCTGGGCGTTCTAGAACTGGACAATTCAAAACTACACAGCTGCTGTCTGTCAGTATGTGTTAGGTAGTAAGCAATAAGTGTCAACAATAATAATATACAATATTATTCATAATATGTAATAATAAAATAATGTGTAAATATAATATACTAAAAAATAATGAAATAATAATGGTATAATAAATATATATATGATGTAATATAATATAATAATTTAATAATATTATTAATATAAACTTAATAATATTATTAGGTAGGGAAGTATTAAGCAACAAATAGTAATTAGTTATTTGGTATGTACATAAGTAAATGCATAGGTGAGTATCTTAGTTAGTTGTTAGTTAGTTAGTTAGCAGCTCAGCAAGCATGATGAACTTGACCACTGTTCAAGTGATTTCTGGGTGGGAGTTTGAGGTTTCTTTTGGCTGGTTCGTGAACAGATGATTGGCAAGTGTGCTTTAGAAATTCTAGAGTGTAAATTCACATATGCATCGTGTACGCACTCAGGAATTGGCAACTGACCGACTCCGAGACTGCACCAAACGCAGTTTTATAAATTAATGTTAGTGACTTGCCGGGCTCCGTGAGGTACAGCGGCTAGCCATAGCACTAAAACTAGGCAAAGCATGACTAGCTTTATCTTCCATCTTTCCCACCAAACAGTACCGGCAACGCAGGTCGCAAATCACAGGCATATCATTGTCTGAGAGAAACGAATACCGGGTAGCAGAGAAGCGAATCTTGCTAATTCTCGTTTCAGGTGGTGGAGGCTTATCAGTACGTCGGAGGATGGCGGTTTGGTTGCGTATGACCATGCTGACCACAGACATCTCACCCAAACTACAGCAGTCAGAATGAATGTAACCTTCGCCCACTTTGCAGTAAAGCCCTTTGGGATTATATGTTTACCATCTGAGGGAGACCATTATCTCGCTGAATACTACGTTTCACTCAATATTCACAAGCAATCCTATGCAGAACGTTTGCCTACCTGTTCGTTTCCTTGTTCTTTTTTTAAATAGTTGTACGTTGATAACTAGAAAGAAACAATCCACTGCCAATGTATACCTGATGCAAACAGGACAATTTTTTCGTAGGTGTAGCTGAAGGTTAGGTTGTGTAAACAATGTGAAAGCATAAGTTGACACAAGGACAGAAGGATGTATCTGCTAAAGTGTCATTTTTTATGGCACCGGAGATGGTGACAACAAGTTCAAATTATTATCAGGCGCTAATTAACCAATCAGTAACCAATCAGTTTGTTATAAACAAGCCTATGCTGGTGGAGAACAAATGAGAGCCGGGTGTTAGTTTGTCTGCTATATCATAGCAAACTCCGCAACCTGAACCTCTCAGTGTATTAAGTTTTCTTGACGGAATACGGTCTTCCTCATTATATGAGTTGTCCAATAACGGTGTTTTTTTGAGTGCCAAAGTGATCTTGTGACTGGTTGCCTTTTCAGACTTTCGAAGTTGGCTTGCATGGATGGTTCATTGCTTGACCATAGGTGATGCTACTGTGGGGAAAGTATTTATGCAGCTGATCAGTGGTTGCATGCAGTTGTGGCCGTCGTTTCAGTTGGAATTCTCCCATAGACCAGCTCTTTTGAACATGCGGCGTCGGGAGTTACTGTCAAAAACTGCGAGCCTGGCTGAGTTTATTGGTTGTTGACATTTGTTAGCAATCGGTCTGTTCGCCAAGCATGACAGCTGGCAAACGAAAGCCCTGGGTGAAAATATTCGGAGTGATATCCTAATCTTTTCGAAAAACGTCTTCCTGAACTTTCCTGGTTGCCCGTTGACTATTACTCAAATGTGAACGAAAGCTACAAATGCAATTCCGTAGTAAGTCTCACTTTTCAATAGACGTGAGGCGGGTTTAGAAGAAAACATACTAATCGCATGCTTTATTAGCAGTATTCACCGCCAGACGACAATATTGTTTATGGGCACATTGGGGTGACCCAAGATACCAAATGGGAATTAAATCTTGCAACTATTTCTTCAGGCAAAATGAAAATATTCGAACTTCATCAACACAAACACGCAAACCAACATTGAACATGGGATATGCGCTAGTGCTCAGGGTTCTCGAGACGTACAATTACCATCTATTTTTGCCAATGAAGGTCCCGATTATGTTTGAGTGTGACTAATCAAAAGGACCCTCAGTGTAACTTAAGTGTGTTTGATGGATGAATAATGACCGATGCAACACAGTAATCCCCAATGGCACTTTTTGGAACAAAATATAAAGGGACGGAATCAAAGTTAAATATTATCTTGAATGATAGAAAATAAATCATGTGATAAGAGTTGGTGATTTTCGAATTGATGCGCAATGTTGATGATTCTCAAAGAAGCTAAAATTACTGCACAGTATTTCTTAGCCTTCCAGCATAGTTTGGGTTTACCGACAGGAGGAAAGCTCAACCAAAAAACACAAATTTGCGGTTCCTGGTTATCGTGAATCTTAAAATGAGACTGTCTCACAGAAACATCGTTTCCGTACATGTCTACTTTCTAGCCGGTATCAAAACACTTCTGAATAATCACATTCATGCGGTGTCATACATGTCATGCGCAAACATTCCAGAAACAGCGACCAGCTACAAGCGATAAACATACCCAGGTAGATTTTTTCATGGATCGCTGTGTGATCAAGATCCATAAAATACAACCATAATTACATGAAAAATAACCTTTCTAATCAATTTAATCTCTCTGGTCCAATGGGTCCATAAAATACAACCATAATTACATGAAAGATAACCTTTCTAATCAATTCAATCTCTTCTGTGCCCAATGAGAAACGAGACCTACATTGCCACAAATGTCCACACACATAAAAAATTGTATTAGTTAACGAAAACATCAAACGAACCATTCAAGTGTGCACAAAAATTACAATTTTCATACTCATTTGCAAACTAATTTGGTCGAAGGATTTTAAGCAACCTTATGAGTAGTACACTACAAAGATATACAATTTTCATACTTTGGAGACAGCTTTGAGAGGGTTGGTGAAGGGATCCAAAGAATATTGGAAATTGCGAGGAATTTGTAGTTGCTTAGTTTCTTTAGGCTAATGTGTATGGTTCCAATCTACATTTTGTGTTTGTGACACGCAACTTCTAAATTTTTCAAACCGGTACATTTTCGGTGTGGTCCGTGGAAAGATATTGGACAGCCGTGCCCCTATTTGAAGCAGGTTTATGGCTGTCATGGCAAGTCAAACCAAGTTGTTATGGTATCTCAAAGCACAAAGTAGCGTAGACTGTTTGAAAGTAAGCCACGTTTCCTTCGCAGGATGTGACCCAATGGAACTATTTTCTCCTAGTAGAATGATCTAGAGAATACTTATTTTTATGAGTAGGTGTGGAGTTCCTTCATAGAGACTAAGCTTGCTAGAACGCACTACAAACATTTTAGTGACTGCATTTGATTTGGACATTTACTTTTCAAAAGTCAGTTTCTGCGAAAATCAGAAACATTGTTGTGCTCAGAGGTTTACGCAGCTAAACGGAAAATACGACAGGAAGATGCACACACGGAACAGATCAAATGGGACAATGTCCGATGGATTACAGAGACAGGTGATTAAAAATAAGCCGTAACTATATAACAGAGGACAATATGTGAGTGGACGGAAAGTAGTCTGTCCTCTTTGGTTGTTGGTCTGTTCGCCGAGCTTGGCAGTTGGATTGCAAACGTTTCATCACCAATCGAGGTGACATCGTCAGTGCAGGGTTGAGTGGGTCTCAACTCAACTCAACCCTGCACTGACGACGTCACCTCGATTGGTGATGAAACGTTTGCAATCCAACTGCCAAGCTCGACGAACAGACCAACAACCAAAGAGGACAGACTACTTTCCGTCCACTCACATATACATCGACTGCATTGTCCACCTACTCAACAACCTCAGAATGGCAACCTTAACTCCATCAATTCAACAAAACATGTCTGATAAAACATACAATTTTCTCCGAAAAGTAAATCCCGGTGGCTTTGGGGTGTGACTTGGAGGGAGGGAGAAGGGTGTCTGACTAGGTAATTTCATTTCGTGTTCCATCACCATATTCAACAGATCCTTTCAACGAAAACGTGCGCCAGTCTTGGTCTGCGCTAACGGAACAGGTCAGTTGGACCTCCCAACCCCAGGTTTTTGTCTTTTCACCTAAATGCACTTATCAGTTTAAGGTAAGTTACTAACAAGTCGCTCTCCTTTGAGATAAAATTGGCAAACATTTTCTTGAGGGTAAAAGCTACGCATCAGGGTTACATAAGTCATAACTTGATACCCTAAAAACAATAAGCTTTAAGTGCCTTGGTTCAATAGTTGTCACTGCAAACGCCATTTTATTTCCATCTTCCATAACCACTCACTTATTGAGCCACGTAGACAAACATGAGGTTCTCTTTGCCAACTGAAATACAGCGATAGCACCAAGGTCAACATGGGACAGATGGGTTGGCTTATTTCAAACAGAAATCGGTGGGCGCAAGACAAGAATAAATGAACCACCGAAGAATGATGACAAACAGATTGAAACGGTTGAAAACGTCAGTAACCTCAGTGTGTGCAATCCATATTCTTCCTAGTTTGTTTTATACGGTATGATTACCGTGTACGGAGTCGGATGATTAACCCCTGGTGTACGTTGGGGAGTTTCCTCTCAAGCCATCAGTGTAATGAATTTAGTATCAGTAACCTTATTTCAAAAAAAGTATGCATCACAACATCAACTCAAGCTGAAATTCGCAGAACGTTTTCATCGGAAGGTGCTTCCCGCTCACCAAGAAGCAGTGAGAAAGACATTCTTTAATTTTTTGTGTTCCACAAACAGCCTCGACGAATGCGGACAAGACTGAGTAACTTAAGCATATATTTATACCAGAGCGGGGCGAAACGTTGTAGGTTTTGTCACACCACTTTTACTCACATTTTTAGCTTTCATTTTTCTCATAAAGTTTGCTCGTTCCGCGCAAGATTCATCGCTTCTGCCTCAGCTAGGTAGCCGTCAAATTAACAGATCAGCATCATTTAAGCAGCCCATGAGAAACAATGATTCACACGAGTAAAACATTCAGCTGCGATTTATTTACCGGGGCACCAGTCAACACGGACCGTGTGTTGTATATTTTCGGGCTGAAGGTTACATTGCACTATATCCTGTCTAATTGCGGATTACCCGTACTATTTAAGCAGCCCATGAGAAACAATGATTCGCACGAGTAAAACATTCGGCTGCGATTTATTTACCGGGGCGCCAGTCAACACGGACCTTGTGGTGTACATTTTCGGACTGAAGGTTACATTGCACTATATCCTGTCTAATTGCGGATTACCCACACTGGTAATCAATCAATCAATCAATCAATCAATCAATCAATCAATCAATCAATCAATCAATCAATCAATCAATCAATCAATCAATCAATCAATCAATCAATCAATCAATCAATCAATCAATCAATCAATCAATCAATCAATCAATCAATCAATCAATCAATCAATCAATCAATCAATCAATCAATCAATCAATCAATCAATCAATCAATCAATCAATCAATCAATCAATCAATCAATCAATCAATCAATCAATCAATCAATCAATCAATCAATCAATCAATCAATCAATCAATCAATCAATCAATCAATCAATCAATCAATCAATCAATCAATCAATCAATCAATCAATCAATCAATCAATCAATCAATCAATCAATCAATCAATCAATCAATCAATCAATCAATCAATCAATCAATCAATCAATCAATCAATCAATCAATCAATCAATCAATCAATCAATCAATCAATCAATCAATCAATCAATCAATCAATCAATCAATCAATCAATCAATCAATCAATCAATCAATCAATCAATCAATCAATCAATCAATCAATCAATCAATCAATCAATCAATCAATCAATCAATCAATCAATCAATCAATCAATCAATCAATCAATCAATCAATCAATCAATCAATCAATCAATCAATCAATCAATCAATCAATCAATCAATCAATCAATCAATCCATCCATCCATCTATCTATCTATCTATCTATCTATCTATCTATCTATCTATCTATCTATCTATCTATCTATCTATCTATCTATCTATCTATCTATCTATCTATCTATCTATCTATCTATCTATCTATCTATCTATCTATCTATCTATCTATCTATCTATCTATCTATCTATCTATCTATCTATCTATCTATCTATCTTCTATCCTATCTATCTATCTATCTATCTATCTATCTATCTATCTATCTATCTATCTATCTATCTATCTATCTATCTATCTATCTATTATCTATCTATCTATCTATCTACAGTCTTCATTCAGCTGCTTAACCGCTTTCTTTATTTTGAGTCATTCATTTTGAGGTAAACTTCACCATTTTCGTCTCATTCCGATCATGAATCTCAGATTAATTCTGCGGCGTTCAACTCGTTCGTGCGGTAACAATTTCTTCGGCAGTTCGCTCGACATTGATGAGATCAACGGATTTGTGTTAGTTGCCTGACATTTAGGTAATGCTGATTCATCCTATACCGGGATGAATTGAGAGAGAGAGGAATGAACAACTGTCATCCAGTTTTACCCAGGCACCTCTTAAAAACAATTGCCTGTTTTCCTCACCTTCTCCACATTCCTGGTGTAACCATTACATTAGCTGCCGAAAATTAAGACAGCTGGGTGTAGCTATGGGTGGAGGGTATTCTGTCGAGTCTTCTTGTCTCAAAATTCGGGATAAGCATGAGTGAGATTTGATATTTTTGCTAGGATAGTTCCAAATGTTGGGCAAAACGGGTGTTTTCTCTAAGCCATGACATTTTTTCTTTCTTTTGTTGAATTAACCATGCTCTCAAGGCGTTAGTTTATTAAACCGCTTCTGGACTTTCCTGCGTTTATGAATCTTCTGCTCTCGGAAGGGCGTATTCTCTTGTTGTTTGTAATCCATCGCGCTACATAATTGAGAACTCTAGGACATTCGTTACCCACTAATAATTTAAACGCCATTCCTCCAATTTCAAGTGGGTGTGTCAGGATTGCGATAGTAAAATAAAGCACAAAATGCCACGGTCATAACCCTCAACTTGGAACTCTGATACTTTCTTGTACAAAGGTATGAGAAGAACACTGTCGGTAGCCAAAAAGCACCAAGTGAGAAGATATGTGGAGGTAGCCTTTAAAACTTTCAAGTTTGAATAATCTGTTTGAAGGTGTTGAATGCTTACGTGCTCCATGAGCACTTCCTCCGGTCTGTAACCAAAAATTATCGTCAATTTTTTATGTGCAGACAATCACTTTACCCTGATTACGTACAGTTAGTTTGCACGAAAGTCTTCAATGGAATACTCTCATTTGCAAACGAATTTCATTTTGACAGGAGACTCAAATGAACCCAGCTGTCTTCCTTTTAGAATGTTCCACTTCAGCTAGAGGCGTTGTACAAGGCCACTTCATGTTTCACTTTGAACGTTTTTCGTAGCATCGCAATACAATGTCAGTGGGTATTGTGGTACTTCAAGGAAAATTTATACCCCTTTCTTGAATCTACAGCATTGTTTGAAGTAGAAATGAATCATAGGTCACAAACAATTTATTCTATTCCTATTCATATCACTGTCATTTGAGCAGCCGTCCTCCTTTCCTGGAGTAACTGTTCTGGTGAATCTACCCCAAAGGGAAGAGGACGCATTGGTCACGAGTTTCGCTCTTATTAGAGCTAATAACTAGTGCATATCCAATCGGTTCGCCGAAGTTTGAACTCAGGACATCTTCATTGCAAGGCTAGAGTGTCACCACCACTCCAAAAGCGCACGTTGGACGCATCTGAATTTTAACGTATGAATATGCGAGTGCGATCACGCTTGGGCGATGTGCTTGATATGCTTGGTTCATCGAACAAAATCCCACTAACTTTTTTCGTTTAATTTAGTTAATAATTTTTAATACATGACGTAATAAGAATGAACACAAATGTTTGAGGAAGATACTCTACTCGTTACAAATTTGACAAATAAAAGTATTTCATTTTTGATTCAAAATAACCTTGTGTCCTACAGCTCAGCAGTCACATAACGGACATTGCGGAAATTCTTGAAGTCTACTGAATGCATAAGTCCCTGTTTCCTCTAGAGTAAATCGATCAAGGGAAGTCCAGGTGTTTGCATAAGTCGGTAAGTGCATTACGGACCGTGCACCGAGGTGCATTTCTCTGTTGCCAGCAAATACAGAAACGGACGATGCCTCAATAAGCGAAAGCTGGAAAAACAAAAGGAAGTAAACATGAGGGAAACTGAGTTTAGCACAGTGATAAACATTAACCCCTTAGTTTCACCTGAAATCATTCAGTTGCATGTACTGTTTCGTTTCTTTATGTAAGACGTAAAGTTCCCTAAATCCCTAATACTTTGGTGCGAAAAACTTGTGAAGTTTATTGTGGTTGATAAATAGGTTAGTCACTAAGGCATTGCCTGCTTTGGTACTTATGGTAAGGGAGACAACAACAGCAACAGACCAGTTGACGTCATCATGCTTTGGTACTTATGGTAAGGGAGACAACATATTACAAATGGGGAAGTTTCAGCAACAGACTAGTTGACGTCATCACTGTGTCATTTTTGTGGTGAAGTGGGGTGACGTATCATTTGTATGTGGGTGTGTTCAAATACCTATTGCTAACAGGATGGGCTGGCAGACAGTCCTCGCCGTCATTCCGGGAAGCACGATCGCTCAATCCTATGGGAACCTAATGTGGTTCACCACTCGAACGTAGGCAGTAGTATGTAGACCGGTGGAATGGCTGCATGGCTGAAGATCATGCTTGCACGAATTGGCATGTTTGTCTTGAATCTGCATGTGCCGGTGTTCTCATGGAAGCAGCATTCTTTATGGATGAAAATGAAGCATCTGATCAGTGCAGATCTCACTTCATGAAACTTTATGGTGGGCATTGCTATGTTGTAGTGTCGAGAACTCATGTGTTAACCCAATGTGAGTAGGGAGAAGGGTCAATTAGCCAAAGAGTCAAATGACCTGCTATACTATCAAACAAGAGTATAGAAGGAAATCGCTCATGGGTCGACTAAAGTTCAAAGTTTGCGCAATTTTTTGAGCACACGGTGATGACTCACCCAGCCGGATTTCGATGGGTGTGGCAATAAGTAGTTTTCTGATTAAAAAATCTGTTATTTGCTTATGATATGACCATCTTCGGATTTGCCGCATCACATTCAGGTCGGACTTCTGTTAACCACTTTCCATGTACGCCGGACTAAGTTATCTCATTCCCTTCGACAAAGTCATCTCCGTAATACCAGTCTGCGCTGCTCCACATAAGCATACAACTGAATGCATAAACAAGCTTGAGGTAGTGCTTGGTAAATTCTCTTCCTGACAGGACCTAATAGCCGGGCCCAAACTAAGCTGGTGCACAAATTAGCAGTCATATTAAGAGGACGTCTTGGACATCTGATAACTAAGTCGGCAGCCAGATTTTCGTCGAATAGCAGAGTGATTCCTGCAAACTTTTACCTAGCCAATTGTTTCGCAGTTCTTAGCATTTTAGACTTCATATTTTTCAGCATCGACGGTTGATGATGCTCATTTAGTATATATGCGTGTCCTGAAAACTAGTTACTCACGTAGGCAGTCGGAAGAACATAACTTCAATGTCTATACAGACAAACAACTAAATAATTCGTTTTTTGAAGAAGTGAAGCTGTCGAAATAATTATACGGATCTGTCCACGCTCGTTTTCCGTGAAGTTTGCGACGTGTAGACCCAGAAATGTCAACATCCATAACACTCAGCTGTCCACTGCACTCATGTCCAAGAATTAGTTTGAAATATATTGACAACGTATTGCAGCGCAGCTGGGTGGTGTTATCAACCTAATCTGCATATTGACCGTGTGGTACAACTTGTCGAGTGAGTGCATTTAGTCATTGGGTTTCAAGTATCCTCATGAACAGATATGCCAAGAGCGAACCTGGAGGCGATTCACTCGCCACTGCGTCATTCTTTTGACAGATTGCATTATTGAAGCCTGCC